AAGGAATTTGAATATGTGCCTATAAGAACTTGTCTCTCGTACACATTGAACTCAAGCCTTCAAAAACATTTGGTTTTCAGTGTACAAGGAGTAGTCGATAGAGTGTAAATTAGGGTGATCGGCTCCCACCTCGGCTTGATTCAGAGATCTAGGTCCATGTTCGCCTTGGATGCATCTCAAAACATCTCAAAACGTGACGTATAGTTTTAAATCAATGACTGGATAAAATTTCATCTGTATACAGCAATTATGATTTGACAAACAAAAAATTATCTATGGGGTGTTGCCCACTACAAAAAATTAGAACTTACGAAACAGGGAAAGTTAACAGCAGTCAGTTTATACCCAAAATCTTACCAGAAAGCTCTACTAAAATCTGCATATCGCCGCCAACGCAATCACGGGTCGAGCCGCCGACATGAAGCGTGACATGGTGGCATGTTCTGTTCTCTGGTAGCAGTCCAAAATGCCAATGCGGTGCGGCGACGCCTCTAATTCGCAAAGAAAGCTTGCACATCTATCGCTAATAAGTAATAGTACAGTCATTTCAGGACAGCCAGAGTAGAATTACCTTCTGAGCTGAATTACAAGGTTTTGTACAAGGGTACCTACCCATGAGTATACAAGATCGTAGGGTATTGTGCAATATTATTTGAATGTCAAGCAAACTTTCATCGTTGCTATGTTCCTCATGTCCTCGATTGAAAATATAGCTGCGGTACGTGTGATAGAGAGACAGGATCTGGCAACGTTTTCCAATCTTCATCAATTATTTGTTGTACCAGCCTGAGCTTCGCATCAAAATTTCTTTGAACCGAAAGTCTGACCCTTTGGCTTACTCGACATGAACAGCCATATGTGAATTTAAACGCAGATTATTTTGGAGAACTGTAGAATGGTTCATAGTTTCTGATCAACGAATTCAGTCTAGGCTCTATGATTTGTTTGTCCCAAATTCTCATAGTCGGTCATTGAATTCATGTATTTAGTGTTGGTTTGGCAGAAATTTTGCAGATAATTGTGCTAATAAACGATTTCATGAAGGACATTGTACTTCTTACTTAATTTGCAAAGATCGGCACATGCCTAATGAAGGTAGAAGCTTTCACTGGTATTGGTAGACAAATGAGTCAAAGGCACTAAGACTGCTGTTTTAGCGACAAACATGCTTGACTCATCTATTCGAATTCGCCTAGATAGACACAGAGTACCTTAGTTATGTGCTTAAATGCTGTTCTATGCTCGTTTACCCCGTATCTATGGCCATTATACAGGGTGTTTCAGTTTATTGTTGCATAACTTTAAGATTCGATAGAACTTTTAAAATTAATGCATAAAGACTATTTAAACATGGGTCGAAAAATGCATGGCTTCCGAAATACAGGGTGTTCAAGTTTACTTTCTAAAATAGTTTTTTTTAAATATTTCGAACAATGTTTGATGTAACGTATAACAGTGAAAATTGGTATGCAAGGGTTTTTGGTACGACAAAACGAACCATGGGCATAGTTTTACTGTAGCCGCTAGAGGGCGCTCTCTACTGTACCTGTAGTGTATCAAAATGACCGAAAAAATTTTCTTAGTGCAATTTTTTGCTTTTTGAATAAAAAAACTGATTTTTCGCACCTTTCAACATAAAAAAGCTGAATTTGCTGAATTTTCGTTATAGTTGGCCGTTTTTGAGATATTTCGATTTTTAAGGTTCGATGCATTTTTAATTGTTTATGATAAAATAACGTTAAAAAGTCAGTATCTCGATAATCTTTAGAAGTAGGCTGTGCCTGCAAATGTTTTTTAAATTGAAAGCAGAATAAGGTTGAACGTCAATTAGTTGACAGTTTTGTTGTCTGTTGAAACCTGAAACGTTTTTTTGCAATTGTGAATGCACGCAATTTAGTTTCTTTTACCTGTTTTTTTTTTGGAAGTTTTATAAAGATGCCATTTTTATTCTCCAATCAAGAGTTAGCGGATATTCATTTTGTCTATGGCTTTGTAAATGGAAACGCAGCAGAAGCAGCCAGAGAATACGCACGAAGATTTCCAAACAGACGAAATCCAACTCGCTCAGTATTTGTAAGAGTGCATCGCCAAATAATTGAAAATGGTTTTGAAAATCTCCAAAGGGATCAAAACATAAATGTTCGTCAGCGCAGATTTCCCCGTACGATTCTGCGTGAGTTTGATAGAGATCCGACCACAAGTGTTAGGAGAGTTTCTGGTGCCTTGGGAATTTCAGCAAGCCATATTCACCGTGTTCTTAGAAATGGCCATAGACGTCCTTACCATTTGCAACCTGTGCAAGGACTACAGCCAGGGGACGGAGAACGAAGAATCACATTTTGTCAGTGGATTCTTCATAGAACTGATAATAATAGGGAGTTTTTAAGTAACGTTTTATGGACCGATGAGTCATGCTTCACTAGACGTGGAGTGGTAAATTTTCATAATCAACATATTTGGTCGCATGAAAATCCGCATGCAGTTCGGGAAAGAAATTTTCAGCATGAATTTAGTGTGAACGTGTATATTGGTATCTAGCGTAATCGACTATTTGGACCCTACCTCTTGCCTGCAAGGTTAAATGCTGCAACGTTCTTGGAATTGTTAAAGGCTGAACATGCAAATATGTGGGATGATGTTATGTTAGATTTAAGAAGATTGGCCTGGTTCCAGCTTGATGGTTGTCCAGCTCATTATTCGAGAATAGTTAGAAACTGGCTGGACGAAAATTATCCAGAAAGATGGATCGGCCGTGGAGGATCAGTCGCCTGGCCTCCACGATCCCCTGACCTAATCCATTGGATTTCTTTGTGTGGGGATTTCTAAAAGAAAAAGTGTACCAGACTCCCGTAACCACAAGAGATATGCTAATAGACAGAATCAGGAATGCATGTGATGGAATAAGGCCTTATTTGAATAATGCTATACCACGTTCGATCATTCGTAGATGTGAATTGTGTATTGAACAATTGGGTTTACATTTCGAGCAACTACTTTAGATTTTGTATGTTTGTCCTAACTATCCAATAGCATTTTAGTTGTAAATAATTAATTTAATTTGTTAAAAATAATATTGGAGAATTAAACAAATTAATATTCTTTTTTTTTATGTTTATTTGGAGTTAGGAATTATTGCTGTGTTTAAAAACACAATCTTAATTACATGTAATGCCCAAATCGAAAATGTATAAAATCATTTTTTTCATTCAAAAAGCAAAAAAAAGCACTAAGAAAAAATTTTCGGTCATTTTAATTTCACTACAGGTACAGTAAAGAGCGCCCTCTAGCGGCTACAGTAAAAATATGGTTCGTTTTATCGTACCAAAAAACCCTTGTATACCAATTTTCACTGTTTTACATCAAATATTGTTCGAAATATTTAAAAAAAAAACTATTTTAGAAAGTAAATTTAAACACCCTGTATTTCGGAAGCCACGCATTTTTCGACCCATGTTTATCTATATAAAGTCTATACTTTATGCATTAATTTTAAAAGTTCTATCGGATCTTAAAGTTATGCAACAATAAACTGAAACACCCTGTATAGTGCTGCAATTTTTGTATCAGGTATTTATAAATTTTATATCCTGTAGGTACCAACAAAACTAAGGTAGAGATCAGAGTTACATATAGTGCTTGTCAAAAGGGTTCGGCCTACCCATTTTTCGAGCAGGTCAGGTTAACAAGCCAATATTTGAGTTGATGAAATTTATTCATGAGTACCGTTGTAACACTCTTGTATAGTGTGTTATTATTCAGAATGCTAGTATGTCAGTTTTGTGTGCTGTTAAATTAGTAGTAGTAGTTATTTTGTTAGTATCCTGTCTAAAACTTTAGATGTATTCCGCGAAGCTTCTAAATTACTTTTTATAGAAAGTTGATCTTCACGTGTTACTAGGGTACTTTAGTTCCACAAACAAAAATCCATCCGTAGCCTTAGTACAGCCCGAAAATATCGTATACACAGCAGAACAAGGAAACAGCTCATTGATAGGAAACCGAAAGATTTGAAACACGTATCTTTCAGTCAGTAGTTGTCAGTAATAATGGCAACCAAAAGATTGGTCAATATTGAGAGCCCACTCAACAAATGCATCTGACGTCTGTTAAGGCTTATCATCATATCTACACTTGTTTTTCCCAGTTCTCTATGGTAATTGGTTCACAGTAATATTTTATCTCTACTGGCAGCCAGCCGATACTTTCTCATTACTCGACCCTCCATTGCGTCCAGAGATCAAGTTAAGTAGCAGGGTACTTGACATAAAGCAAAAAACGTTAACCTTCAGACGACTCGCCTTAAGCTATTTCAGTGGAATGACCTTTCGAATTAGGATGGATAGATGCAAGATCCACTTGGGTCAAACAATACAGCGTATGTTGGGTGGCTTTTCGAGGTTACAATCTTGTGCTTTTCGTCATCAATAAAGGAAACAGACCGCCTAGGAACAGGTGATAAATATTGTTCTAATATTAATCGTTATAGAAGTTAACTTAGAACAGTAACGTATAGCTAAGTGTGACCATTCCTTCTCAAAAAAGAGTTTCTGTTCTGGTGCCATTAGCCCTTTTAGTTAGCCACTAACCTTCTCAAGGTAGATTAATTTCTAGTTAGATAGCGGGCTATCTTCAGTTTGAACAAAAAAAGTAATACAAACCGTTCGACTCAAAGTAGGATTTGCTATATAGGGTGTTTCAGAACTAAGGGATCAAACTTCTAGGGGTTATTCAGTGTAACAGTAGGAAACATTTGAGTATAGGGACCCATATCCGGAAAAGTGTTACTACGGTACTACGGCTCTAAGACGCGTGAAAACTTAGAATGACGATGCATTGCCTAAATAGGATTTAATGCATTTGTATTCTGAAGGATTTGGCTATGTTTATGTTTTCGTTCTGATTGAGATTTAATGTTATTTATAATGTAGTGCCAATTTATCTAGGTTAACCAGACTATTGCAATGACTATGTCTCTTCTTCTGAATCGATCCCAGTTTCATCACCAAGCACGTAAAGTTCATGTGTTCATGAGTGTAATTTTTATTGTCAATCTTACGAGCATATGCGGAGAAGAACAATGTTTGACGTGAGTAGGGATGGCCGGTTAAATATAATGTGAGCAATTTGGCACAGGGTTAGTTTGTTTCAAAATCGTCACAATGATGAACACGGTAGGTTGATACAACAGTGACTGTGGAAAATAATCAAGGGTTGTTTTGTGGAAGGAGTGAACTGTGAAGTACAATGTGCGGAGGTTTTGGTTTTTGAAAGAGTGGATTGTTCAAAAATAGTGGATAATACGCGTCTCATATCTCTGCAAAAAAAATTCCGTTGCTGATCACGATCAATATTACTTTAATGTCAATGAACATATCCAGCAAACGACAGAACTGTAGTGCATGAAATCATTTCACATCTTTTATTAAAATATCACTGACATAGCATACAACACCCAACTATTTATGTTCGAGCAGTTGCATCAGGGGTCAAACACACTCTAATTCGTCCGAGATTCTTTCTTAATCCATGTATCCACACTTCTTTGGAGAATGTCGTCTATAATCTGTACTTTGTTTACTACCTAACATAATATTCGCGACTTGCAGGGGTGCGTTTGGTAATGTAATACTAGTCGATGGTAGTACCGTACAGAGTAATGGAATGTATTTGACAGATACTATGGAATACTGTAAAACTTTATTTCTAGAACGCCAAAATTATTACAGGGTCAAGTAATGACACTTGGTGACAGCCGACTAATTTCTAACCACGTTTTCTGGGACAATTTTATTTACTATAAGAAACGCTAAGGATACGGCGTAGCTCATACATCGTCAACAATATATATTCTGCCCATTTTGAGCACTTTTTGATATCCATATAAATGAACAATGAGCCATGGAAATGAGAAGTGAACTTAAGCATTGGAAGAAAATCACACTTTTCACTTGATACATCATGCGATCTTTCCAACAGATAAGTAAAAATTTCTGGGTCGAACGTTAGATAATAACTTGAGATTCCAAATCATATTAACAGTATTATACAAAGCACTATACAAATTATGTATGCGAACAACCACATTATTAGTACTGATGTTAAGAAATCTTATCCGAATCATTAGGCATGCCCACAATACTGTGACATCTTAGATTTCAGCTGCCTGGACAGTTGGACAAAGATATGTCCACAGTAAGTGCAGAGTCCTTGCTATCGATTCATTTATGGACTAAGAAAATATGATCATATATCAACAAAGTTGAAAAACATTGGTTGGCTGAATGTGGAAAAAACTATTAAAATTACACCACTACCTCTCTTTGGTACATAAATTAATAGCGACTTCCGCACCATCTTACTTATTTGAAAAACTTGTGGCTAGCAGAAACATACACTCTCGAAATTCAATACGCCGGGAAATTTAAATATACCTCGTCACCATTCAACACTATTCCAACTATCTTTGTCACATAACGGTGTGACATTATATAATCAGGTGAATCATGAGATATAAAAATACACAATACTATTATTGCTACTGCTACTAGCAGAGTGATATAGGCTAGTTTCACGTTTTGACTTCTAAATTCCTGTATAGTCTACTCTTTTAACAGGTTTAAATGTAAGAGTAGCCATTAGCTAAGTTTTGCCCTAATAAATCCAAGGTTACTATTATTAACATTATATCGAAGCAAATGTGCTGCATGTTGGCTCGAACCGGACAGATGTTCCTGAACTGGGCATGATCGAAGCCTACATACATCTGCAGTCAACGACGCTTAATTCGTTGCTAGCTAGATTTGAAAAACATAAATACAGTTACAAGTGTTGTAGTGTTTTGATTCGTCCTGATGACATTCGTAGAGCGACGAATCTCGTCCATGAAATGAGAAATGCACTCCATGAATTCCGCAATGAGCAGTGGAGCGGCTTTCTGGCGAATCAAGTATTCCTCTCTGGAAAGTAGCAAAATCGCCCAAAAACGAAAGGCAAGAACAACTACCACGTATTCATGGTCCTGAAGGCATAGTTTTCAGGACTGAGGATAAAGTGGAGGTTTTTTCTGACGTCATGGAAAGGCAGTTCTCTCCCAATTATGATCTGCACAATGACCTTGACGAGGAACGACAAATTGCAAGATCTGTCAAGAGACACTTCAGAGCGAATGGCGATACCAACATCGGTGACTTCTGTTCAAAAGATCCTTCTACGGAAGACTCTTCAGATGAATCTCAGCATAGCACATCAACAGAATCTTCTGAGATTCCGTTTTGCACACCAGCAGAGCTCCAAGGCCACATTAAGGACCTAACGGTGCGTAAAGCACCTGGAGAGGATCAAATCACCAACAAGGCACTGAAGTTGCTTTCGCTCAAGGCTTTGGCTTATCTGGTGGCGATAATCAATGCATTGATCAGAACTCATTTCTTTCCTAAGGCGTGGAAGGTCGCTAAAGTCATCATGATCCCAAAGTAGGCAGGTTCGATATTCCTCCAGGATTACCGTCCCATTAGTCTACTGTCAACTCCTTCTGAAAATGTGATTTATCGTCACCTTGAGAATTTCTCGTCAGATAGATCACCATGTGATTCCTGACGTGCAATTCGGCTTTCGGTCTGAGCATAGTACGGAGCTACAGGCAGTTAGACTGGTGGAGCATGTAATCAGGGGGTTCACCCTGAACGAAAGTACTGGTAACTTGCTTTTAGATGTATCAACGGCATTTGACAAGGTGTGGCATATGGGCCTCTTGTATAAGCTCATTCAAAAGGGGTTTCCATTTTGGCTACTAAAACTGTTGAAATCTTTTCTAGAAGGAAGGAAGTTTCGGATCTAAATTAACAATGTGTTGTCAACAACACGGCCCGTAAGAGCCGGTGTTCCTCAGGGTTCGGTTGCCCCAGCAATCTCTATGCTGACGACACTGCATTGCTAGCCCAGTCTTGTTCTGGTGACCTGGTTCACAACAGGCTGCAGAGTGCGGTGAAGGAGGAAGTAATGGAGTGGGCGGATCGGTGGTTGATCAAAATTAATACTTCGAAAACGCAGGCAATCTATTGTACTAAAAAACGTCGCGGTGCCTCCTCAGAGATATCCGTGAATGGAACTCGTATACCATGCGAGCAATCTGTCAGTTAACTGGAGGCATCATTGACAAGGGGCTGACCTGGCAGGAACATACTGATATGTTGAAAACAAAATTCCAAATTACCTTTCGGCAGCTTTATCAATTCAAAATTAAGTTTGATTAACAAGATTCGGTTGTATAAAATGGTCATAAGATCCGCAATCATCTACGCATGCGCGGCTTGGTGTTTTCTTGCCAAGACGCACATGCAGAGAGTGCAAGTCCTGTAAAACAGAACCCTACGCACAATCACTAACGCCCCTTCGTACGTGTCAAATGAGACCATTCACAGAGATCTTGATATCCCATATCTAAGGAATTACGTAAAACAACAGGCACAGCGGCGTTATAATCAAGCGGGATCGCACAGAAACCCTCTGTCAGTAGACTACACAGTCGAGCAAGTTCGCAAACATTCCAGGCCGCGCCTCGCACTGTGATCAAAATTAAATTGTAAATTCAGACCATCCAAAATTATTTCAGTATACAAAACCGATCAAAATTATCTTTTGGAGTTACAAAATAATTCGAGTAGTCAAAGCAATAATGCTTAAGCTATTTTAAATGATTTACTTCTATTCTTTGCTCTATTTCTTCTTTCCTTCTTTCTCTTTTCCCCTTAACCATGTTTGGTATCTGAGTAGCCAGGCCTGACAGAGACTTTTAACTAAAAGCAAAGGTCCACCGGACCGCTCTGACGAATAAGGACGAATAACTAGTGTTTTGATGACTGGTTTATCTCTGTTATCTACATCAACTTTATTCAATGACATTTTTGTTAAAAGATTGGGAATTATATATTTGAGACATATCGAAAAATTGGATCATTTTGATGTTTGCTATCGTTTAAGTGAAGCATCTAAGATTTGGCGACGCAAAGGGCTGACCGAGTATGTAATGGGTGATTTTTTTCCTAGTATCTTTTTGGCAACACTGTTTTTGACAGCTGACGCGTGAATCGAGTCTTGTGTCATTGTCAAACTTGTTTAGTTTGGTCTATAATTTAACCATGAATCGACTTACGAACGAACAACGCTTGCAAATTTTACTATCAAAATTCATGCTCGGTTAAGAGAGTGCATCGAGCACTGCTTCCAATTTATGGGCAATTTGGTCGGCCTACTGAGAGCGCTATTCGGAAGCTTGTTACTAAATTTCTAACCCAGTTTACATTATTGGACATTAAGCCACCAACAAGCAGACGTAGAGTGAGGACTGAAGAAAATATTGCGGCTGTATCCGCCAGTGTTAGTGATGACCGTGAAATGTCGATTCGCCGCCGTTCGCAGCAATTGGGCCTCTGTTACTCCACTACGTGGAAAATTTTGCGACAGGATTTGGGTGTAAAACCTTATAAAATACAGCTGGTGCAAGAATTGAAGCCACACGACCTCCCACAACGTTTCCAATTTGGTGAATGGGCGCTGGCAAAGTTGGAGGAAGATCCACATTTTTATCGAATAATTGTGTTCAGCGACGAAGCTCATTTCTGGTTGAATGGGTACGTTAACAAGCAAAATTGCCGCATCTGGAGTGAAGACCAGCCAGAAGCATTGCAAGAGTTACCAATGCATCCCGAAAAAATCACTGTTTGGTGTGGATTATGGGCCGGTGGCATCATCGGGCCGTACTTCTTCAAAAAAGACAATGGCCGGAACGTAATTGTGAATTTTTTGCCCAAAATGGAAGATCTGGACGTGGCTGACATGTGGTTTCAACAAGACGGTGCCACATACCACACCGCACACGAAACAATGGCTCTATTGAGAGGCGAGTTCGGTGAATAGTTTATCTCACGTTTGGGGCCCGTCAATTGGCCACCTAGATCGTGTGATTTAACGCCGTTGGACTATTTCTTGTCGGGCCATGTTAAGGCTAATGTCTACAGGGATAAACCAGCAACGATTGGCGCACTGTAAGCCAATATTGAAGCATTTATTTGTAAGATACCGGCCGATATGTTGGAGAGAGTGTGCCAAAATTGGACCTTGGGCATAGGCCATCTAAAGCGGAGCCGCGGCCAACATTTACATGAAATAATCTTCAAACATTAAATTATATCGACCGGTCTATCGACCTAAATGAAGATTTAATCGTCTTTTCAAATTTTTTGTGTTTTTTTTTTGAAAATCAAATCCTATACCTCTTAAAAAATTACCCGTTAGAAGAACTGTAATTGGTTGCCACGCATTAGCAAAACCTGAATCTATGAATTTCTTAGCTACTATGCACGCCCAGTTGTTCTTCATTCATGGTTTGACATTGAATGGAGAACTCGTATATAAAATTATAACAGTACCACACAGAATGGTATCGCTCCAGTTCATTCAAGCTTACGCGCTAGCGTATAATTTATAATTTGTAGTAAATGGTTGTATGTAAATCTTGTTTTGATTTGCAGGTTATTGTCTTGTCTGCCTTGGCGACGGTATCCTTGACGCAACAGCAAGGTGAGCCGATACCGATAGTGAGGTACGAGAATGAAGGGGTTAATGCAGATGGATCGTATCAGTGGAGGTTAGTGTTGTTATTTTTCTACATTCACTGATAATAGCACTCACGTAGGTTGAGAAGCTTATGAGTTACGAAGCTTATGCATAAAAGGTCGATTATGTGTAGGTTTCATTCTAGATATCACCATCATATCTAAACTGAATCCAAATTCAAGATGAGATGTAAATAATAACAGTTAGCGCGTAATCTCTCGGTAACAGGTGGAGACAACGTCTCTTATTGGTCCATTCGCCATTAAATTTCAAGCCGTCGCCTGGCGGAATGATGCGCGGGACAGGGGCAGGGCAGGCAGAGTTGCACTCAGGCCACCGTCCGTCGCGTGTATCACTGCGTGCTCGTGTTTTCGAATTCACCTTGCTTGGTTGTTGCTGTTGTTGTTGTTAAGTGTATTTGAGTAATTTGTTAAGTTTCTGTTTCTGTTAAATACTGTCATCTTTGTTTTACAACACGTTGGTGGTAGTCCATCATTCGTAGGTAGCCCTGAATGCGGTCCTATACGCCGTCCTTGCTTTTGGCAATCACGCATCCGTTCTATCTTGGGGGTAAATACACTATAGATTCAATAATCTTGAAAGGTCTGTACCACGAACCGGCACTTGAGCCACCGTGACAACAGAACATTATACGTGAATTCAAAGCTTCTCTCAAGTCGTACGATATTCGGCTTAATTGATTGGACTTCCTCTTGACCCCACGATGTCAGCGTGAGGATCGAATGCATCTTTGTGTAGAGAAAATATCTACTTTATCAATAGTAACCTCACAAATGCCCCTCTGGTTTTGAAAGGTGCCCGGGTTTTGCCAGGAATCTATTCGTCTTATTTTGACGAAATTAAGACCATTGGAAATATGTCACCTGGCGCCAAGATGACTCGTTAATCGCACCAGATGCTGTGAACGCTTGCTTACAACCGGAAATTGTTTCTCGCAATCTAACCTCCAGATTCTCCGTAAGATTCAAGCTACTACAATTCGCATCATCGACTAATCTGCGACACTGTGGACAGGCAGTCCCAAATACGCGATATTAAAGGGCAGACGGGGGTCTGGCCTTCTTCCAAGGATTTGCTAACGGACTTTGCTCCTCAGAGCTCTCGTCCACGATGCAGCGGTATTCTTGTTCCGTCAGATGGTCCTTCCAGAGTTCTTATTCTGTAACACATATTTTCAGTAACATACAAATTTAGCTTTGAATGCTCTTGCATGGTGCTCAACACTCTTAGCTTCAATTTCTGTAGAGCAGTTGTGGTACCTCGGCATTCCAGTTCTGCCCGTGCGAGCGCCTTGGCATAAAAAAGCACAGATCAAGGTGGCTGTAGATAGATCAATAGACAAAATATATTATGAAGGAGTGCAACTAAAAAAAAATTACGTATAGCTTGGTGAATTGTTATGATTAGGGCCCTTGCTGACCTTTGTCTATTAAAGCATATCTCAGTATGAATGCGTCACGCTATATGCATAGAAGAAGGCATTATGGGACTAAATGTTTTTAATACCTTCAGACTGAGAATCCATAAGATCTCAATTTATGTTCTCTCGCGGTATTATTCCTAGCAGCTTACCACTAAATTTGTCACTAGGAATCTAAGTGGTCAGATTTGTAACTATATTTATGTAGGAGACATTGGTCTATGCTTAGTGCAATTATATATTTAATTCTATTTGTAATTTTTAGAGGTCAAAAACAAGGTTCTACGTTATACGTTCCCCACATACGTTAAGCGGGTTTTGAATAGTATATCTAATTGCAAATCTAAAAAGATTGTCTTAATTTGAACTATTCTTAGATAGATAGATTTTTGTCAGTGTTTAAACGACTTAGTTCCTGGAAGGATATCTGAAACACTTCTAAAAATAGGTTTGTTGTGGTATAGACCCTCTTTCGGTGTTAGTATGCAGGTTATGAGATTTCAAAGGTGAACCTTCCCAAAACAGAAACGGTATTAGCACGTTAGTCGTGTAGGAGGCTCTCCATTGTTAAGCTTTACAGCTATGTTTGCACTTCTTTGCGGTCAGCAGGGTAGTTTTGAAATCATCCCAGCGTCGTAGTCTGGTTTTCAGTAACACAATAGAATATGCTGCCAAATATATTGAAGTGAACTAGTTACTATACAGGAATAATAAAAATGGTGACATTCATTTACCTGGAAAACATACAAGATAATATACTTCTAATGCACAGAAACTGTCTTGAGGTACAAGTAAATCCTGAAGAAGGAAAATCGTTCTAGGCAGCAAAACAATAAAAATACCTACATACTAAAATTTGATAATAGCTTCAAATTAAATATACTACACAAGCACAACTTGGACTTTAATCTGTTTTGATGAGGGGATTAGTATTGGATTGGAATTGAATTTTTAGTCTTTTTTAAAACACAAAAAAGGAAAAAACTTGTCTCTATTGTATTTTCGATCAATGTTTTGGTATGCCTTAAACTAAATTCATAATCCATTTTTGATCCTGTTCTTAAAGAGTCTAATGGAATACTTCCACACTTTATGTTTAATCCCTGCGTTAACAGATCGAAATGACACTTAAAACGCTGAATTCTATTCTATCTACGTTTTCATCCTCAACTTGTATTTAAAATACCTGTCACAATTTCTTGGTTCATGACATCCCGGCTAATAGTTCTTTTATTTCCCTTTGACAGTAAATGTGCAGGAAAATGACAAACATTACATATTAGTACAACCAAAGGAACAAACGAAAACTGACGAAGCTTCAGCGCGTGATTACGTATCCGAAACAAAGTTCCCAATGTTCGTATCGAAAAAGTCAACAAGCTCAATTTTGTATTAAATTAATGCAATGTCTGTTCCAGTGTAGGTGCTGATCAAATAATAAACCTATAAATTTTACGCTTTATGTGTTGCCCATCATTTTCCCATCATAGCTAACAGCCAAATCTGAGCTTTGACTCTGTCTGAATTGTAACCTAACTATATTTGTTTCATTGTAGTTAAAAGACATTGGAGTGAAAAAAGCTACTTATCAGATTTAAAGCTTCCCAAAATTCATTCGATAGTTTATTTGTATTTGTAGACGATACAACTAAAGAGAAGTGATTTGAATATGCAAGGTATTCCTCATTTTAAGGCTGGTCGTAAATGGTATTCATACAGTGCTTTTCTTTAAAGTCCCCCTCCCCTTTGATTTTTTGAACGGATCAATTCTTGTGGCAGATCATTTCGAAGTTCCTGATGAGCACTTTATAACCCTAGACTATAAAGTCGATACCCTTGCCTGCTGCAAAATGGTGGTATATTTAATAATTACTTGAACTCAAACCCACTAACATGCATATCTCTACAAATAATTGTAGTTCGCTGCCGTGTCGACAGCAACAGCGATAAAAACTTGTTTTGTTATTTTTTGTTGACAGTGACAAGAATATCAGTACGAAAACAAACACCATTGCACAGTTAAAATATTCTCACTTAGTTTTCGGTTTTAGTACTCGATACTGTTTGAACTATTTTTAAAATGGTCAATTCTCGTCCATTGGAAGAAAAAATCGAAGCGATTTTTATTTACGGTGCGACGCGTAACTTTCACGATACCGGAAGGATTTTTAATGATCGTTTCCCGTATCTTCCTATCTGTAGAAAATATTTAAGGGAACTTGTAACTAAATTTACAGCTACTGGTAGTGTAAACAACAAAAAGCCCCAGGTCATCCGACCATCCCGGAAGAAAAGCAAGTTCAAACAATTGGTGAGATCATAGTAAATCCCCAACAGTCTACTTCCTCCATCGCGAATCTATGTGAGGTTTATCCTTCTGCTGTATGGAGAAGTTTAGAGTAGAATAAGTACCATCCATACAAAATTCAAATGGTACATCAGCTAACTGAAGATGACCCTGATCGAAGAACAGAATTCTGCCAGACTATGACGGAAACCGCTGCACGGCACCCTACTTATATCTAAAATATTTGTTTTAGTGATGAATGTGCATTTTTTCTCAACGATAATATGCATAGACAAAATTGTCGCTATTGGAGTGACACCAATCCTCACGTCTTCCGGGAAACTCATACTCAATATCCACAAAAAATTAACGTTTGGGGGGGATATTGAGAAATCATATTGTGGGCCTCTATTCATCGAACAAACTTTAACCGGGGAACTGTATTTGGATATGCTGGAAAATAGTAATCACCGAAATCGTCGAAGCGAATCCTAACGCATTCGATACTGATATTGTATTCCAGCAAGATGGTGCTCCACCACACTACTACAGAGAAGTTAGGAATTATTTAGATAACAATTTTCCCGGTCGTTGGATTAGCCGTCGAGGTCCTGTGGAACGGCCAGCTCGCTCGCCAGATTTGACACATTTAGACTTTTTTTATGGGGCTATTTGAATCAAAAGGTGTACGAAACTGAACCTGCTTCAATATTGGATATACGGCTGAAGATAACAAATATTTGTAGAAATATCGATGTTACTATGTTTGAAAATGCTCGACGCGAAATTACGGACCGGCTGTTATTGTATCAAGAAGTTCAAGACAACAATTTCCAGCATCTTCTAAACTGAACTCAACGTTTTATGCGAATTATCAAGTTAAATGTCAATGTATTCAGGTATATATATATATACCTTGGAGTGGTCTTGGATCCTCACTTACGATGGGACATCCATGTCAATTATATTTTAAAGAAAGTTAGATTTGTATCCTACAAAATTAAATACCTTGGGAATATATTGACAGAAAAATATCTTCGAACATTATACCATGCACTGATTGAGCCTCATCTCACATATGGTATATTAGCATGGGGAGCTGCATGTTCCTCACATATCTATAATTTAGATGTTTTTCAAAAAAGTATTCTAAAAATGATATTTAAAAAACCGAAACTTTATCCCACTGAAAAATTATACGCAGATGTTCGAAAGTATGATATAAGACAGCTTTATTTCTTACACAGTATCACTCACTACCATAAATTGGTAAACACCGACCAAAAAATTAAACATAATCATTATACCAGGTACAAAATTCGTGGCACAGTAGTTCCTCAACCGCATAAATCTATAATGCAGCGATGATATCTCTATTTAGCGCCTAAATTTTATGAAATTATACCTAAAGACTTAAAAGATTTACGTTTCGGAAATTATTTCAAAAGAAATTTAAAAAAGTGGCTACATTCTATATCTAGGACTGAAATTCATAAACTCATAAATACGAACATCAACTAAATACATAATCTACTTAAGCTAATTTTTGCCCTTTTTTGTCATTTGCATTCTACAGTTTCAACTTAAATTATTGGTCCATGTACAGGCGATGCCTTCTATTCGGCCTGTTTTGATTTTATATTTATTTGCTCATATTGTTTGTTATCTTTGTACATTGAGTGAATAAATATTATTATTATTATTATTATTATTATTATTATTATTATTAATTATTAAATGTACCACCATTTTGTAGTAGGTAAAGGTATTAACTTTATATTCAAATGTTATAAAGTACTAAAGTACTCGTCAGGAGCTTCAAAATTATGAGCTACGAGACCCTCGTTTTCATATAACTTTTTTCCAAGATGGCGCCCAGCAGACATCTTGACATTTTCGTCTGTCAATTTTACTCTAAAATATGGTATCCACGCATCAATTTCATTACATTAAGTTTTAATTTTTTTAATTGCTCCGTTCAAAAAATCAAAGGGGAGGGGGACATTAAAGAAAGGCACTGCATATAAAATAAAAAGTATTGTTCCAAGCATTGACCCCTGAGCCCACTGACTGACTGAGTGAAAGTAGCCGGTCTACCAGTGACACTTTGGGCACCAGTTGTTGATCACATAATCATAGACTCTGAATAGAACTTGATTAGTGCAGTCGCTATGACAATATCTACAAACTTTGCAGAATTGAATAAATTTTCAATCAAGAGAAACCCCTAAAATATATTTCAAACAACCATTTATTTCCTTTATTTCCAGTTTGGAGACAGGCAATGGCATAGTAGCCCAAGAGCAAGGTCAGATCAAAAACGCGGGTAGTGAAAACGAGGCGGCAGAAGTACAGGGTTCCTTCCAGTACCAAGCCCCTGACGGCACTCCAATCTCAATGAACTACATAGCCAACGAAGGAGGCTTCCAACCACAGGGAGAACATCTTCCGACTCCACCTCCTATTCCACCAGCGATACAAAGGGCGCTGGAGTGGATTGCCGCTCATCCTGAACCAGAAGAAGCTCAGAGACCTCAGAGAGAGGTGCACGCCAAACCTTTACCACGACCTTTTCAAAAGACGAACCAGCGCGGGTTTAATCGACACTTCTGAGTCGGATCTCAGTGGTCTTGACCTTTTTCTGATATACCGTGTAGCTCATAGATAATGAAAGGCTGGAAATGCAATTCAAACAGCGCAGAAAATGACCAAATGTGCAGAAACGTGGTAAAATCGGTAATGACAAAAATTGTTCTTATTCCGCCGGTGTCTATAGTTATCTAACGCTCTTCTGAAGCTATGTCAAGTCATGGCATCAATTGACATCTATGAGATATACGGTAATTACGTCTGTGTATATAATGTGTCTAATAAATTAAATAAGCCAACTTATTCTCTTCTAACAGATAGCCTGTATCCAGTTCCAAAAATAGGTTGCATATACAGGGTGTTTCAGTTTATTGTTGCATAACTTTAATACTCGATAGAACTTTTAAAATTAATGCATAAAGTCTATATAAACATGGGTCGAAAAATGCGTGGCTTGCGAAATACAGGGTGTTTAAATTTACTTTCTGAAATAGTTTTTTTTTAATATTTAGAACAATATTTGATTTATAACAGTGAAAATTGGTATACAAGGGTTTTTTGGTACGACAAAACGAACCATGGACATAGTTTTATTGTAGCCGCTAGAGGGCGCTCCCTACTGTACCTGTGTATTGAAATGACCGAAAATTTTTTCTTTGTGCAATTTTTTGCTTTTTGAATAAAAAACTGATTATTCGCACTTTTCGGCATAAAAAAGCTCTCCTGTGAGTTTTTGTTATAGTTAGCCGTTTTTGAGATATTTCGATTTCTAAGGTTCGATGCATTTTTAATTATTTATGGGAAAATAATATTTTTTTACATTTTCGATTTGGGCATTACAAGTAATTAAGATAATCGTTTAGATTGTGTTCTTAAACACATATATAATAATATTTTTAACAAATTAAATTAATTATTTACAACTAAAATGCTATTGGATAGTTAGGACAAACATACGAAATCTAGAGTAGTTGCTCGAAATGTAAACCCAATTGTTCAATACACAATTCACATCTACGAATGATCGAACGTCGTATAGCATTATTCAAATAAGGCCTTATTTCATCACATGCATTCCTGATTCTGTCTATTAGCATATCTCTTGTGATTACGGGAGTCTGGTACACTTTTTCTTTGAGAAATCCCCACACAAACAAATCTAATGGATTTAGGTCAGGGGATCGTGGAGGCCAGGCGACTGGTCCACCACGGCCGATCCATTTTTCTGGATAATTTTCATCCAGCCAGTTTCTAGCTGGAACCAGGCCAATCTTCTTAAATCTAACATAACGTCATCCCACATATTTGCATGTTCAGCCTTTAAAAATTCCAAGAAGGTCGCAGCATTTAACCTTGCAGGCAAAAGGTAGGGTCCAAATAGTCGATTACGGTAGATACCAATCCACACGTTCACACTAAATTCATGCTGAAAATTTCTTTCCCGAACTGCATGCGGATTTTCATGCGACCAAATATGTTGAATATGAAAATGTTCCACTCCGCGTCTAGTGAAGCATCACTCATCGGTCCATAAAAAGTTACTTAAAAACTCCCTATTATTATCAGTTCTATCAAGAATCCACCGACAAAATGTGATTCTTCGTTCTCCGTCCCCTGGATGTAGTCCTTGCACAGGTTGCAAATGGTAAGGACATCTATGGTCATTTCTAAGAACACGGTGAACATGGCTTGCTGAAATTCCCAAGGCACCAGAAACTCTCCTAACACTTGTGGTCGGATCTCTATCAAACTCACGCAGCATCATACGGGTAAATCTGCGCTGACGAACATTTATGTTTTGATCCCTTTGGAGATTTCCAAAACCATTTTCAATTACTTGGCGATGCACTCTTACAAATACTGAGCGAGTTGGATGTCGTCTGTTTGGAAATCTTCGTGCGTATTCTCTGGCTTCTTCAGCTGCGTTTCCATTTACAAAGCCATACACAAAATGAATATCCGCTAACCCTTGATTGGAGAATAAAAATGGCATTTTTATAAAACTTACAAAAAAAACAGGTAAAAGAAGCTAAATTTCGTGCATTCACAATTGCAAAAAAACGTTTCAGGTTTCAACAGACCACAAAACTAACTGTCAACTAATTGACGTTTAACCTTATTCTGCTTTCAATTTCAAAAATATTTGCAGGCCCAGCCTACTTCTAAAAATTATCGAAATACTGACTTGTTAACGTTATTTTATCATGAATAATTAAAAATGCATCTTACCTTAAAAATCGAAATATCTCAAAAACCGCTAACTATAACTAAAATTCACAAGAGACCTTTTTTATATTGAAAAAGCAAAAAATTGGACTAAGAAAATTTTTTCGGTCATTTTAATACACTACAGGTACAGTAGAGGGCGCCCTCTAGCGGCTACAGTAAAACTATGCCCATGGTTCATTTTGTCGTACCAAAAAACCCTTGTATAGCAATTTTCACTGTTATACATCAAATATTGTTCGAAATATTTAAAAAAAAACTGTTTTAGAAAGTAAATTTAAACACCCTGTATTTCGGAAGTCACGCATTTTTCGACCCATGTTTATATAGACTTAATGCATTAATTTTAAAAGTTAGTTCTATCGAATCTTAAACATTTTTTTTACTGCTTTTTATGTCATTTATTGTCATTTTTTTGTGTAAAATATGTACGTCCTAAGTTACAGCGAGTTTCATTTGACAAATTACACAAAAGACAATGGAATTCGGTTCTGGAATTTATTACACATAAGGCGATAGTAGGCTATCATTTATTGATTGAAATAAAAATGGAGTCGAGTAGATTGAATCTATGGTTTCAATGCTTTCAAGGTATGTCCGAAATATCTTAAATCTTTGTATATCAAAGTGTATGAAATATATAAATAAAATAATCAAACTTCCAGGTGATTAACATATATAACAGATGCGTAGTAATATCGGCATCAGCAGCTTCTCAACAATATAAGATCTATCACTAACATCAGAGATGCAACAATTTACAATCATTTAACCCCTATCTCTCCCAACCCACAATTCTCAATCACTTCAAAAAATACCTGAAAAGGAGTAGGAAGCTCTGCAACTTGATGCATGATGTCTTAACGATTTTTACTTCTCTCTTAGTCTGTAGCTCCGCCAAAACTGAACCAATTTCCAAAAAACTACTATACAAACAATACAACCAAAAAACCTGAAACCTAATCTACTTTGCTCATTACTAAGCATAATTGTTTTGCTTCTTCGTACATAGATACACGTTTCCGCATTCAGCTTACAAAGTGCCAATTTTTATAGGCTACAGAAATGTTAAAGATAGGATATTTGATATGAAGGATTCGACGTGCTTCGTTCAACATTAAGAAAAAAAAAACAGTCCAGAATTTTTTATTATCGAATATGATGCCTTCACAGTACCAACTGCTTCAGTGAGTCCACGCAACGTCATGTATGTCACAGATGCACACATTACTTCTAATACGATTAAAAGTATTGGTGCAGGTTCAAATGCATAATCTTATTCATAGAGGACACCTTTTAACCAATCTGCATGTTGCTGTGCCCAAAATTACGTTAAAAGTTGTTTGATGTCTTCCTCGAAAAATTATATTTCTTCACTTCAGAAAAGGCTTCCTGTAGATCTTGAGTGTCGTTTTGATAAAAAAATGCAAAGTATGCCATATCCGGAAAAAAATACATATCAACGAAAATTTGAATGGTGCTAAAGTTCCTGAGTGTTCCTCATACATCCATTGGAAAATTCTCAAAGCATTTTGTGGAGTAATGTTATTGTAAATATTTATTTTTTTATTATCAATTATGTGCGCATTTCAATGCATATTATATAAATTGGGCGCCCGATTGACTAATACAAAACCAAAGGAGTACCAATAACAATGCACTGTGAAATGCGCTATGATTATGTTCATTGTTGTTCGAGGAATAGCTTAGGAACTTAGGCGACATTAAAGTTTTCGTCTTCTATATTGTTTTTGGAGGTAGAGAATGAAGTATTTTACACAATTTCGAATATTATACCGCCTATATCTCGAGCGCTTTCAACCTTAAAGAATTTCATTCTTATGAAAGATACTTTTTGTCATAACGACTTCAAAATCTTTGTCAGGAGCGATAAAACCAATTTTTGGAATTCGTTTTTGACAAGGTTATTTCCTGACAACATGCAGATTCGGTAAAAGCGGCCTTTCTGAAGAATAATATACAAAAAAACGTATCAGAATATTTTTTCCGAGCGGAAGCGTATACCTATGCTTCCTGGAGATTAAGTTCCGCAACGTAAAGTTTATCAGTCATTTTTGGCACTTAATTACTGTTCAACATCATAGTTTTGTACACGTTATCAACTGTCCGGTTTTGAAATTATCTATACGTATATACATACTAAGAGTACTAGGTCTCTAAAACGTACGATATCAGCAACAAGAGAAAGTCAAAGTTTCGTGTACACACTCACATATGATTAAATGGGACATAAAATTGAAGTTTTTGACTAAAGCAATACAATAATGATAAGCTACATATACAGGGTGACTTCGAAGTTGAGTCATTTATTTTAACAGTGAGTAGATCTGATCAAAAGAAATGTTTTTTTCCTTTACCATTTTTCTGGTAAAATTAAAGTAACAAAGTTATAGCCCTTTGGAAGTTTGAGTACCGCCCTGTCTCAATAATAACATTATGTGCTCGTGTTTGGCGACAACGGATATAATTCGCCTTATCGGTTCATCGCATCGGAAACAAAAAAGCGAAAGAATTTGGAACGATGTTTTTACAATTGTTTCATTCAGTTGTATACAGTCAGTGTCAGTCGGTAGTGGATAGTGGTGTCTGTTGCGTGGCTCAAACGAAATAAAAAATGGCACATGTTTATGCGGATCGGTTTCCCAATCGAGTGTAACCAACCCCTCGTGCCTTTGTTAATGTAGTACAACGGGTTCGTGAATCATTTGACTTAAGACCTCACATATGGACGGCATGCCGGTGCTCCAACACCTCACGATCAAATACAGGTCCGCACTGAAATACTTGTCGGGAGGATACTTTATAAAACAAGGTAAATTTTTTTTTTTTAATTTTTCTTATATTTTTACACACATATTTTGGTTTATCTTCCTTCTAAAATCATTATCTGAAAATTAATGACTCAACTTCAAAGTCACCCTGTATAGATTTGAAATCAGAAAGAAATTGAACATCATTCTCAATGAAAATACGTTGGGTTTAAAAAAATTAAAACGTTATTCGATAGCACCTTTCTTGAGACATACTGCCTACAAAAATCAAATTGCCTGAAGAACTTAGACTATACAATCAATCCACGGTCTTGTCTTGTATTTCCCTGTCCTACCGGCAGTGCATCTGGAAGCGTCGCCCCTCCTCGATAGTTAACACGTGGTAGCGCGGTCAGAGCATTGGAAACACTAAGCTGTGACGTGGCAGAAATACGTGTAGTACCATACCAGAACAACAGAACAGTCAATAAGGTCGGAGATACGCAGCCGGGAGCAGTAGCCGCAGTTGGTAGGTACGCGATCCGTGTGTTGAAAATATTTTATTCAAAGGCGGAGAAATCTATAATGTGTGAAATAAGTCGAATACGTGCCTACAATTGCCAAGGCTGGAGCGTATAAATGTATTAATATCAAAAGATCGACATAAACCCTGCCCACCTCCCTGCAACTCACATATTTATTTACGTCTAAAGTTTTTTAAAAAATGATTAGGATCCTCTACACATCAAAAAACGAGGTATGAGCGATTTTTATTCTGTTTCATTTTTGGCATTTTTCTCTGGCTCCACTAGACTGGTTTTCAAAAACTGCAAAGCTTTTGCTTCCTTGACATAGCTGTGACGTTGTGTAAAAAATCACGGACATAAGTGAGATATTTGCCGTGATGCACATGCCATATAACATCCAAAAGAAAATATGTCATTTTCGAAAGTTTTCGCGATTACAATACTTTCCCGCTAGTAGGCGTGGGAAGTAAAAGATAAAAGGGTGACTAATCTATAATTTCACCAATCAAAAAAAGAACTTTCTAATTGTAACCATTGGATTGTATTTGCCAAGAAAATATCCTGAAAGTCAAGTGCAGTGACAAGATAGACGATTACTTCAAGTACCTGTCCAGCAATATTTCGCCCGCTTCGGATCTTGCATCAAGGATACCAAAAAACGTTTTACCTGACGTTGTGAATATGAAGGTAATAAATATTCGCACATTTACCTTAATTCAGGAAGTCGCAATCTTGACACCGCATCCAAGGAACTTGCTTTAATGTGCCTAATTAAGCAGTATTGATTGCCAGGTAGTAAAATATCTCATGTGGTGTTATAAGAACGATCACTTCAACCTCAAACACATGCATGTCTCAATGCAGTTTCGTTTGTTCACCTTGAAACTGTCGTAAAATTTAGAAAAGAAACTGTATCTTCAGACTATAGTTAAACACTTACGTAGGTCATATAAATTGTATGTATGATGTATGAGTTTCTGATGTTTAACGGTAGTTAGTTTACGTAACATTAGGTATTAATATACGTATGATGCTTGGCTATGAACTTAGCAGTACATCATATGGGATTTTGATTTCGTTGGAGAAGCAACAATTATGTAGTTTGACCCAATTATATCATGCTTTCCCGCAAAAACTGTGCTCTGTCGTAGTTAATGAGCCCTAAGAGGGTGTTTCTTTGTACCTTGGTTTTTGGATAGGAAAAGAAATAACAAGTAACCAATGTTGGATATCTGGCGATAAAGGAGATACAACTCACAAAGTACACAAACATTTATGATACAAAAAATAAAAGAAGTCCTGGGGGACAAGCAAAAGAAAGTTATTTTATACTACCCTCCCCCCCCCACAGCTAAGTGGTTAACAGTAAAACTAAAAGAAAAAAAGGCAGAAGGCAGATACTGGGCTATCTCAGGTGGGCAACCAAGGGCAGGACGTCTCAGATGCAACTCCATACCCGAAGCTAGAACCCTAAATAGGAAAAATTGCTTGTTAAAAATAACCAGAAATAACGATTTCATCAATTTAGTCTTGGTTGAAATCAAATAAAAAATTTAAAATTATTCCACAGTTGCTGTTCAGTCACGGTGTACAAGGAAAATCGTGGTTGCACTAGCAATACCCAAATTTTTAAATTAACCTGAACTAAATCAAAATAATCAGATACCTGTATAAAAAACATAAGGACCCGGAGGTAAAATATTTCATCTCCTCACTCAACTTAGTGTATAAGTAAAGGAATTAAAATATTACTTGAGAACAACAGGAATATTTTACCTCGTAAGTATGGCTCACTCAAATTTCAGTAAATATACAGCCAAAATCAGAAGCTACAGCAATATAAAAGTAACACTATATTATTCTAAGTGTATGTATACAGAACAATATATC